AACATATGCAAGACAGTAGAGGAGAAAGATGTGCTTGGACTCATACATTTTAACTAAAATGGATTTTTTTTTCACAGAAAGAATTTTCCTCATAGTGGTTAATTTTAAGAAACCCACAAAAGTATCCTTAGCAAAATTTGTATAACTGAAACACTGAGTGGAAGAGACTAGAAGAATAGAAGCCAGCAGGTTAAGAATCAGAGAGAGAGGAGGATTATATAGAATAATATCAAAAAGGGCTCCATTCAAAGGATAAGGAATAACTAAGGTAATTCTAAAGATCAAATTAAGCTTATGCAGGCTATTTGGGAATTCAACTATAAAATTTTAATTGAGAGATTCATTTTGAGTTCTATACAATGCAAATTTAGAACACTTTTTCAACTGTAAACACCATCAAAGCACATTAAACACATATCATTCACAAGATTGAGTACACAGAGATAAGCATGCATTTGGAAGCTGAATATTCTCTCTTTAAGTTCAAACAAATACTTTTTTTGGAAGAATTAATGCATATTTTGCTTATGGTTATTAGGGCAATAAAATGAGCCCCCACACCATAAACATTTACTTTATGATAGGCATTATGTTATTAGATACTTTTAAAACATGATCGTATTTAATATTTAATCAACTGCAATGGTAGATATTGTTACTCTGATTTAGTGAATAAAGACATTGAGATGGGGCAGAGAGAGAAAGAGAGGGAGAGAGAGGGAAGGAGAGGAAGAGAGAGAGAGAGAGGCAGGCTTGTCCTGGGTTATAAATCTCATTTAAAGAACCAGGCAATAATATTGTAATAACTATGTGTGGTGTCAGTTGGGTAATAGAAATAACAGGGAAAATACTTTGTAAAGTATACGATTGTTTAACAACTATGCTATGCACCTGAAACTAATACAAAATAATATTGCATGTAAACTGTAATTTAAAAAAATTTTAAAAAAGAGTTAGGAGTTTATTTTAGTTCTTCCTGAATTCTGACTCTATCCTTTTTAAAGGATATAAAACTCTATATTTAAGATGAAAATTGAGGAGGATCCAAGATGGTGGAGGAATAGGTGGAAGCTACACTAACCCCCTCCCAGGACCAAACTGGAATTACAACTAAATTATAGAAAAATCATTCTGAATAACCAGCTGAACATTAGCTGGAGAGAAGTCTTATAACCAAGGACTTACAGAAGAAACACCACCATCACAACGAGACTGGTAGGAAGTGTGAAAGTGAGAGAGGGCTAGTTAGGGGCTTCCATTGGTGCCTGGGGGTCAGTGCATAGACCCCTGAGAAGCGTGGGGTCTAAACCCCAAGCTGGGCTCTCCAGACTAGAGCTCCAGAACTGGGAAAGGAACCCACAAAATATCTGGCTGTGAAAAGCAGTGGGGTTTCTGTCCACCAGGGAGAGAGAGCTAGTGATGCAGGGAGCTTTTAAAGGGTCAACCCAAAAAATTTCATTTGTAGCCAGTTATCCTGAGCTCTGGCAGAGGGGAGGCAGACTGGACTAGAGATGTTTGAGGAGAGTCTGGGGTTGGTGGATTTTGGGAGAGAGCTGAAGAGTCAGCCACCAGAATTCCTGTTCTATGTCATCCTTTATTGCAGAAGCCATCTCTCTCAGACAGAACACTCTCTCCCATGTGACTATGGCCTGAGGGGAATCAATAACTTCATCCATAGAAATCCCTCTTCTCCCACCCTGTGGAGCTTAAGCCAGGCTGCTGAGGAGTACAGCTGGAGGCTATTTCAGTAACAAAGCCTAACAGAAAGCTGGCAGGTAAAGGCAGATTTCTGGGAGCTCTGAGATTTTAGATGACCCTTTCCTGGGCCTAGTGCTGGTAAAAGACAGTCTTGGTGCGCAGCCTGGTTCTTTCTGCAAACACCAAGGTCCAGCAGAGGAAGCCACATGCTGTGGAACTATGATAGCTCCAAACATGTTTCCCAGGGGCAGTTACAGGCAGTGTTTGACTTAGGTCTGCACCAGAATCTGTGCAGATCTACCTAATGCATGGAAACAAATGTAAACAGGCAGCAAAAATGGGAAGACAAAGAAACAGACCACAAATGAAGAACAAGAGCATTCTCCAGAAGAAGAACTAAAGAAAATGGAAGTGAGCAATTTATCAGATATAGAGTTTACAGTAATGATTGTAAGGATACTCAATAGCATGAAAAAGGACATAGAATACACAAGAAAGGACTTGTAAGAAATAAAAAATAAAATATCTGAAATAAATTATACACTGAAAGGAATGAACAGTAGATTAGATGAAACAGAAGAATGAATCAGTGATTTGGAAGACAGGTGGAAAAACGACCCAACTACAGCAGCAAAAAGGGAAAAAAATTAAAAATGAAGACATTTAAGAAACCTTTGAGGCAACATGAGGCATAACAACATCTGCATCATGGGAATACATGAAGGAGAAGAGAGTGAGCAGGAGATTGAGAACCTAAGACCGTGGGTCCTTTATACATGTTCCTTGACTTGACCTTTCCCCTTCTTTCCTCTGTTATCCTCATTCTCTGTCCACTGGTTACTGTCAGCTTGTTCTTTATTTCCATGTGTCTGGTTCTATTTTGCTTGCTTCTTTGTTTTGTTGATTAAGTTCCACTTAAGGGTGACATCATATGGTATTTGTCTTTCACAATCTGGCTTATTTCACCAAGCATGATGATCTCCAGTTCCATCTATGCTGTTGTGAAGGGTAGGAGTTCCTTCTTTCTTTCTGTTGCATAGTATTCCCTTGTGTAAATGTGATACATGCACCCATATATTTCTGATATATTTCATCAGGCAAGGGAAAGAATAGAAAAAATTAACAAATGGGGCTATATCAATCTAAAAAGTTTTTGCATGGCAAAGGAAATCATCAACAAAATAAAAAGATATCCCATGAAATGGAATAACATATTTGATGGTACATCTGATAAGGGAGTAATATCCAAAATTTATAAATAACTTATAAAACAACACCAACCTCCCTCCCCTGCCACAATCCAGTTAAAAATGGGCAAAGGATCTGAATAGACACTTCTCTAAAGAGTACATATTCTTGGCCCATAGACATATGAAAAGATGCTTAAAGTCAGTACTCATGAGAGAAATACAAATTAAAACCACAATGAAATCAATTCACATTTTTTTCAGAATGCCTATCATCAATAAGTCAACAAACAGAAAGTGCTAGTGAGGATGTGGAGAAAGGGAAACTCTTTTGCATTGTTGGTAGGAATGCAGACTGGTGCAACCACAGTGGTGCAGACCCAGTGATTCCATTTTGGGGAATTTATCCAAAGAAACCAAAACACTAATTTGGAGAACATAAGCACCCCTTTGTTCATTGCAGTGTTATTTACAATCACCAAGATGTGAAAGCAGCTCAAGTTTACATGAGTAGGTAATTTAAACAACTGTGAGACATTCACACCATGAAATACATTGTCCTATTGTAAAGAATCAAAAAAAATTATACTTAAACGTAAGAGAAGGTATTATATCAGGATAAATGTTTTTATAGAAGAATTCCTTAAAATTCAAAGTTTGTCTCTATTCTGATAGAGAATGCTGAAAGCTGTTGTAGGGGGGGTAGGAGGTGGAGGAATTGAGCAAAAAAAATGAGAAAAAAACTCATGGACACAGACAACAGTGTGGTGATTTTTGGACAGAGGTGGAGGAGGACATGGGGGGATAAATGGTGATAGACAGAGACTTGACATGGGGTGTACAGATGATGTGTTGTGTCGTGGAATTGTACACCTGAAACCCATATAATTTTCTTAACCAGTGTCACCTCAATAAATTCAATGAAAAGGAAAATAAAAAGCTTGTCTCTATTCCTTGAGTGACTATGGGCAGGTTATGCAAATTGTTATTTGTCTGATTTTCTAGTTTCAGCTGGAGATGATTCTAAAAATAATATCTATATCATACAATGTTTGGGATGATGAGTTAATATATGGAAGCATTTATAACTGTCTGGCACTCACTAAATGTTATAATATTATGCAGTATACTATTATCAATAATAATTGCACTAAATTTTATTATCATCAGTTACTATTGTAAAATATAAGTGTCAGCAGTTTCTTTTTTCCAAATTTTTAAATGATAATTCTACTATATTTATATAAAGAAAAAAATGACTATTTTGTCTCTATTTTGCTTGGAGTTCTATTTTTAAGAAAAAATGTTTGATTTTTGAAAGGGGTCTATGTAAATGTAAATCAAAAGGAGAATTATTTTTGCTACATTCCCCCACATTTCCTTGTCTTCTGAAAGTGATAACAATAATTTGTTGGACAAATATTGATGAGGACTCTCTTCTAATTCTACCTCAGCAAATCAAAACTTTCATCTCTAGTTCTTAAAAAGGGCATTTTGGAGGGAAGGTTCATGTGGATCAAATGAGAGATCACATATAAAAATACTTACAAAATGCAATGTATTGCCAAAAGATGAAAGAAACTCAAATGTCCATCAACAAATTAATGAATGAACAAAATGCAATATATACATATCGTCTAATTTATTCGGTCATATAAAGAGAGAAAATTCTTAGATATGCTGAAACATGGATGAAGCAGCCAGTCACAAAATGACAAATACTGTATGATTCCACCTTTACAAGGTTCCTAGAGTAGCCAAAAACACAGAGAAAGTAGAATGGTGATTTCTGGGGGCTGGAGGGAGGGGAATGGGGGTTATTGTTTAATGAGTACAAATTTTCAGTTTTGGAAGATGAAAAGAGTTCTGGAGGTGGATGGTGGTGATGGTTGCTTAACAATAGACTTCACACCACAGAACTGTACACTTAAAAAATTGTTATGATGGGAAATGTCATGTTACATGTATTTTACGATTAAAAAATACTTTTAAAAATGCAAAGTGCAAGAGCCGAGGATGGGAGAAGAACTGAGGGTTTGAGTAGCATTCCCAGCTTCCTCTCTTCTCCTCTCCGCGCCTTGCTCTCACGGCCTGCCCGCCCTGCTGCCTGCTCGCCCCCAGGACATCTTCCACCATGGCCACCTCAGCGAGTTCCCACTTGAACAAAGGCATCAAGCAGGTGTACATGTCCCTGCCTCAGGGTGACAAAGTCCAAGCTATGTATATCTGGATCGACGGTACTGGAAAAGGACTGCGACACAAGACCCGGACCCTGGACAGTGAGCCCAAGTGCATAGAAGAGGTGCCCGAGTGGAATTTTGATGGCTCTAGTACTTTACAGTCTGAAGGCTCCAACGGGGACATGTCTCTTGTTCCTGCTACCATGTTTCAGGCCCCTTTCCACAAGGACCCCAACAAGCTGGTGTTCTGTGAAGTCCTAAAGTACAACCGAAAGCCTGCAGAGACCAATTTAAGATACACCTGTAAAAGGATAATGGACGTGGTGAGCAATCAGCACCCTTGGTTTGGAATGGAGCAGATTTATACTTTCATGGGCACAGATGGACACCCTTTTGGCTGGCCTACTAATGGCTTCCCTGGGCCCCAAGGTCCATACTACTGTGGCGTGGGAGCAGACAGAGCCTACGGCAGGGACATTGTGGAGGCCTACTTGTAGGCTGGCATCAAGATCGCGGGGACAAATGCTGAGGTCATGCCTGTCCAGTGGGAATTCCAAATTGGACCCTGTGAAGGAATCGAGATGGAAGATCACCTCTGGGTGGCCCGGTTCATCTTGCACCGAGTGTGCGAAGACTTTGGAGTGATAGCACCCTTTGACCCCAAGCCAATTCCCGGGAACTGGAATGGTGCAGGCTGCCACACCAACTTCAGCACCAAGGCCACGCAAGAGAAGGGTCTGAAGTACATCGAGAGGCTGAGCAAGCGGCACCAGTACCACATCCGAGCCTACGATCCCCACGGGGGCCGGGACAATGCCCGGCGCTTAACAGGATTCAACGAGACCTCCAACATCAACGATTTTTCTGCCTGCGTGGCCAACCCCAGCGCTAGCATCCGCATTCCCCAGGCTGTCGGCCAGGAGAAGAAGGGTTACTTTGAAGACCGGCGCCCCTCTGCCAACTGCGACCCCTATGGGGTGACAGAAGCCCTCATCCGCACGTGTCTTCTTAATGAAATTGGCGAGGAGCCCTTCCAGTACAAAAACTAAGTGGACTAGACTCACAGCCACTGAACCCCTTTTAATTCTTCATCCCGCTCCCACTCTCGCTCCCTCTCAATTGTCATAATAGCCGTAACTCAAAGGGCGGAACATCAAAGTCTTTTTTTACTCTTCCTGCCCAGTTAATATCTCTTGCTTTTTTTTTTTGGCCAGGTTACAGGGGTCTTAATCTCTTCACGCACTCTTTTCTCCCCCATCACTGAAGCTTTCTAGAGCATTAGTGGGGAAAGGGGCGGGGAAACATAACTACTGCTTCACCTAATCAGATGTTTGTCCAACAGGCATTAGCTCTCCAGACAGTGAGTATAGTGTTTGTGAAGGGAGAGAAGGACCTTTTTCTTCTTTGAGGTAGCTGAGGGGCGTGGAGGGGTGCTGGGCTTACTCTGTGGTTAGGTTAGATATTCCCTCTTGGTGAAAGTTCCATTTTAAAAAGTCTATAAGCAGATTTCTAGTGGAAGAGAATTAGGAGAGAGGGGAGCATGAGAGTCAGGCAGGAAGACGCCTCTCACTGTGCTGTGCTTCCCTGGCCTGGGGCTAAATGCTCTGACTTGAAGACAAGCTCAGTGTAAAGCAATGGGATGGATAGCCCTGCCTTAGAAGAAGAAGAAGCTCTCATTCCTTGGTCCTCCATGTATAACACAAATCAGAGTAGTATTTTTATATTTAAATGCAAAAATGAAAAAATTATATATATGGATGTGCAGATATGTGTGCATTTTCTAAAAGAGAGAAACCATTCCGGTCACCAGGAGCCAGATTTGAGGGGATTAGTCTGGGTAGTAAAAGGCTCCTTTTGAGTCGGGGGTGAGGGTGGAGATGCTTGAAAAGTCAGCGGTCGGGCCATTAGACCCTCACTGCCATTTAAGGGTTTCTCTGTGCCCTGCCCGCCGTGCGGGAGTGGGTGGATGCTGGTCGGTCAGCAGGAAGAAGCGTGTGTGGCGGCAGCAGTCGCCCAAGCCCCCTGGCTTTGGTATAAAGACACATGTATCGCAGGGGTTTAGAAATAGGAGTTGGCTGGTCAACTTGAGCATGTATGTTACTGACAGGGGGTGTTGGGTGCTTTTCTGGGGGACAGCATGTCACTAAAGAAGGCCTTTTGATATATTAAATTTTTTTTAAAAGAAAAATAAATGCAAAGTGCGCCACCAATGTAAGTTGCTATTTATTTTATTATCATGTTAACATTTCCCCTGCAGCCCTAATCTTGTCTGTGTGTGCATTTTCTTTTCTTCTGTGATGTTGCTGTTATGACTTTTACTAAATAATAAAAGCTATGGTCATAAATACGTCCGCACTCACCAACTCCAGCAGTGCTCTGTCCTCCAGATGCCCCTTTGCTTTGCTCTTCTATGACACAGAGTGGTCTCACAAAGACAGGCACTCCCCTCTTCCAAAGGCAGGTTCCAACTCAGGAAGTTTCTTTCACTCCAATACACGTGATTATTAGAAATTTCATTATCCCTGGGGATAAAGTTAACAAAAGGAATACTTTTGTTCCTGGACCGTGCATGTAAGGTCAAGCTTACCCAAGGTGTGCCTGTTCTTAGCATCTGAAGGAATTTACTGAATATTGCCCACTCTTCAGTGTCACAGGCAGAGCTTCTCCTGAAGCTCAGGTATTCCTCCTACCTGAGCCAACTTGGTTTTACCTTGGGTCAAAAGCCTTCTCCACTGTAAAGCAACAGTTTTGAGGTGTCTGAGCTCAGGGAAAGGAGAGCTCATAAAACTAGGCTGAATTTTCTACTTAGAGCACATCTGAATTTTGAGCAGCCACGTTTAAGTGCTCAGCAGCTACATATTAGACAATGCAGCTCTATGGCTTCTATGTTCTCCCTTGTAATGAGAGTGGGTGGGAGTGGGATGCATTAGAGTTAGTAGATTAGGAGTTTTCATAAGTAACCTTAGGTAAACGACGTATGTTTTCTTTATTCTCTGTCCCTTTCCTTTTGTCTTCCTCCTCTAAAGGGAGATTGAACTTCAAAACATGGCTTTTAAAGAGGAGGGAGAGATAAAAACCTGCAAGAATCAAAAGAGACAAGGAAGACCCTCCTTTTGTTACCACTGGAGTCAAGTCAGGGCCATTTTGGGCAAAAGCACAATGGCATTGGGATTGGCGCCCTCCACTGCAGACAGCTGTGGGCCGGTTGATGAGAAGGGAGAGAGGGTAACTTTACTAAGAGATGGCAGAACTCTGCAGACCTCTCTTTATCTTGCTGTTGGTGGTATATTAGTCTGAGGATGAGAACAGTTTTACACATGGAACTCTGGGGCCTGCAAAGTCTTCTGAAACTCGAATCATGTTCCAGGCAGTGTACTTGGTATTGATGGTACACAGATTCATATGATAGGATCCTTGTTCTTGAGGGACTCTTGACTTATGGTGGCAGAGATATGTTAACAATTCTAATAAAAAACACTAAGAAAAAGGAGTGCACAGGGGGTGCCAGAGGAGCACAGAGGAGTGTCGGACAAGAGTATAGGTTTGGGGGGGGGGTGTAAGTGGGAAGTGTCAGAGGAAGGTTCACAGAGGCTATTTCAGTTGAGTCTTGAGTTACATGTTTTCTGGATAGGAGGGAGGGAGGGTGGATGATAATGTGACAAGCAGAAAAAAAGATAGCACATAGAATAGTCCTAGTGTATGAATAAATGAATGTAGAATGAATATAGGGGTCCTGAAAGGAGATGAACTTAGAGATGTAGGAATTTAGATATACTAAAATGGTTGAACTTGACCCTATATGTGAGAAAGAATTATTTAAGGATTGAAAGCAAGGAAGTGATGTGATCAGATTTGGATTTAAAAAATTTTGGTGTCTTTAAGTTGAGAGTCTGTGCTGTTTAATGCCACAATATAGCTCCTTCTCTCATCAAACATGTTGTAAGCTATCCAATCAGTTTTAAGGAGAAGATGAATTCAAATTAATTGTATCATCTCAATCTTTTGAAAACTTCACAATTCCCCTTGAAAATACCTCTGATATCTTAGAGTCTTACAGAGTCAAGGCAGGAAATCTGTTCTATATCAACATTGTCAGAGTTTAAGGTTAATAGCTTGATATTTCAATTGGATAGGTATTTAATTAAAAGGGCAGACACTAAGCCCTGGTTGGTGTGACCCAGTTGATTGGGCATCGTCATGCAAACTGATAGGTCATGGGTTTGATTCCCGGTCAGGGGACATGCCTGGGTTGTAGGTTCGGTCCCCAGTCTGGGCAGGTGCACGAGGCAGCTGATTGATGTTTCTCTCTCACATCGATATTTCTCTCCCCTTCTTTCAATGCCCTTCCCTTCTCTTTATAATCAAGAAAAGAAAAAAAATAAAAGAACAAGGTGGACATTGAGTCACCCTGGATGAAAAGAGAGTTTTAAACTGAAAATGTGTTGCATGTTCTCTCAATTAACACTGACAGATATAATCATAATGGAGGCATGTGATAGTGTTGCTATATTCATTTACAAGCCCCAGTTTAAAGGGCTGGGTCAGCAACACAGTATGAAAAACTAGGCCTCAGTGTTAAGATAGAGAGAAAAATAATAGTAATGAGGAAAGCTCTGAAACCTTTGGATGAAATGTGGCTGCACTTACCAAAATTTAAAATGCACTCACTCTGTGACTCAAAATTTTCATTTCTCAGAATTTGTCCTTCATAAACTTGTTTCCTTAATTTTCCTTGATGTTTTAAATTTGAAAGGAATGAGCCTGCAAATACATATTTGATATAGTCACCTATAGATTGTTTTCTTTTTATATTTATCAAAATGTAAACATTTTATTCACATTATTGTTCTCCAAATGAGATTCTTTTTTAGTGGATCAACTATGAAGCACATTCATTTACTGTTCACTTCAAATCTGAATGGATGTTCCTGATCGACAAGTGATTGTTTTTCATATGACAATTCTGGGTCTAAAGAAAAAGTATAAATGACCCATGGACTTGGACAATAGGGTGGGGACAAATTCTGTGGGGGTGGGGAGGGGCATGGAAGAGCAATGGGGAAAAATTGGAACAACTGTAATATAACAACAATAAAAAAATTCTGGAACTCAGACTTTTTCCATTTTTTCTTCATCTTCTTCAAAACTCAGCTTCCTAAGTCAATATGCTCGATTATATCAATGATCATCAAGGACCATGTATGGGTGTGGCCTGGCGTGTTACACGTCAGTTTTAATTATATTCTACTGACTAGAACTCAGTAATATAAACACACCTAACCACAAGGAAGGCTTAGGAAAAAAACATTTTTTGAAGAGGAAAATATTTTTTCTCACACAATGTCTTAACTTCCTGGCTGACCAGCATATATCCTGTTTGACCCACATGTAAAGATAGGGAGTTTGTAAACAATGGGGATAGGTAGTTCTGAGGATGTCAGGGAATAAGCTCATTCTGGATACAAGGGATGAGCTCTTTATACTGCTATTTGGACAACAGGAATGGGAGACTAAAGGTCTAACAAAGCTTGAAGGTAATAATGCATCTTTCTTAGCTAACAAGTAATTTATTAAGGTCAAGAGAGGCACCTCTGGAGGGAATGATACTGTGTTAGGCTGAAATATATCTATATGTGCATGTATGTGCCTGCGTTTGTGTGTGAGTGTACATGTGAGTGTGTGCAGTCATATAGTTTTAATCTCCAAAAGATAATCACTGAAGATGAAACATCCTCAAGTTTGTATGATGTATGTTGTTTTCATTGCTCTTGGGATTGAGGTCCCCAGAGGCAGGTTTCAGAGTTTGGAAGGGATAAGTAATGGGGGATGGGAAGATTTTTGGCACATTCAATTTTCTGAATAAAGTACGAAAGGGATCCATGTGAAGAAAGGAGCCCAAAGGTGTTTTACCAAGTAGCTGACATCTCACACTCATGGACTGAATTAGTATAAGTGAGTCTGGGCAGGTGGAACAGTAGCTTCTTTCCTATATCTGAATGTCCTTTTTGTTTTATATATTCATATAAAAAAGGGGCATAAATTTTCATGATTATTTTCCCTTATAAATTCTGTCCAATTATATAAGCCTTATTACACATGTGATTAAAGAAGTATTTTTTTGTCAAAGTATCATTTTGTTTTTGCAGGTCATATTCAAAAGAACTGTATTCTTAGCTGACAAGAAAATGTGAAATTTTTCGTTAAGACTTTGGCAATAATCTAGATGATGCTCTTGCTTACTGTTCTCTTTCACACAGATGATGGCATAGCAAATCAACACCCATTGTATGTGGTTTGTAGGAGAGGAAAACTTTGTAAGTAGAGGCTAATTTATTTAATGAAATATAATATATTCAGATTCAAAAGAGTCAAAAGAAAGCAGGGGACTCAGGAATCAAGTGGGATCTGAGACATACCCAAAAGCAAGAACAAGAGAGCTACCACTCTTCAGTCCATGGACGTGTGGGAGCAGAAGGCCTTTAGAGTGGACTGTTGTGCCGCGAGTGGCTCTCTCCTGTGAGGCATCCAGGTGAGAGCTCAAGAGTATTACTGTGGCAAATGGAAAATGAGGTCTCTTTTTTTTGGTGTGTCTTTTTCCTCTGCTTCATGAGCAGCATTTAATTACCTCTGCTGATTTTAAATACTGAGAGATTAGGTTTCTATACATCTTTTGAGTTCATCTCTGCTATCTTTTTGCTTGCTTACCCTAGGTCAGCATTCAGAAAACATATATGTAGACTATTGAAATAGCTTTCTAACGCTTTCCTGCTAATTTCATTACCCTGTAATTGTATGGCAAATTGTCTTTCAAAGGCAGCTCCATAAACCTTATATGCTTATATTATATGCTATTAATGTTCTGCCTCCACCATTGATTGTCCTTGGAAATTCTGTCTTTTGCGAAGGTCCGTTTCCCTCTCAAAAGCCTTTCATTATTTTGTCCAAATGAGTATAATCTTCAGGTCTCATATGATAACAGCATTTTGTTTTGATTTGTTATATCCTGTTGTTACTATGCCAGTGGCAGCACCACTGTGTAGGTGGAGGGATGATAACTTCCAGTCTATGTTTTGTACCAGCTCATGAAGTTGTCACAAAAAACGTACAATCTAAGTAAAAGCAGTTCCTTTCTAGGCAAAGGAGGTTCCAAGGTAAGTCTCCTTAGATCTCTTTCAATCAGATTTAAGCTCTTAAACTCCCTTTAAACAGAAATTCTAGAGCTATGAGTGCATTGTTTGAAGTTTTTTTGAACTAAAGATATCTGATGTAAGCTCCAAAAGAGTAAGACTCTGCTTTTTAAATTCATTATCTGCCCCCCCCTCCATTTCCTACAGCAGTGGTTGGCAGTAATGTGAGCAAAAAAGTGTTTATTGAATAAATGCAGGAGACAAAGAAGAAAGAACAACTCCCCTTCTGAAGGAAATATAGTAGTATTACAAACCCAAGTTGAGGAAAATAAACATGTATCTCTCCACCAGGAAGAAGAAAAATTGTGTAAATATTTCTGTGGCTTTTACTGTCTCTGTCACTTTCACAGGTCAGATTAATGAGGACTTTCGAGACTGCTAATATCTCTGGGTTTGTGACTGAATTCATCCTCCTGGGCTTCCCCTGCAGTAAAGACATCCAGATCTTTCTCTTTGTGCTCTTCTCCCTCATCTACCTTCTGACCCTCCTGGGGAATGCAGCCATCATCTGTGCTGTGTGGTCAAACCAGAATCTCCACACACCCATGTACATCTTCCTGGCTAACTTCTCCTTCCTGGAGATCTGCTACGTCAGTTCTGATGTGCCCAAAATGTTGGCCAACATCATCTCTCAGAACAAGAGCATCTCCTACTCTGGTTGCCTGGTCCAGTTTTACTTCTTCTTCTCCATGTGTGCTGCTGAAGGCTTATTTCTGTCAGTGATGTCTTTTGATCGATTTCTTGCCATTTGTAGACCTTTGCATTATCCCACTATAATGACACACCGCCTATGTGCTCAGTTAGTGGTCTTCTGTTGGGCAGGTGGCTTTCTTGGGTTACTGACTCCTTTGACTCTTATATCTCGGGTGCCCTTCTGTGGTCCAAATGCCATTGACCATTTTCTCTGTGACCTGGCACCTTTGCTGGCATTGTCCTGTGCTCCAGTAGCTGGAATTACTCTGACCTGTGGTATCATTAGCTCTCTCATCATCTTTCTCACTTTTCTGTACATCCTTGGCACTTACTTCTGTGTCCTCAGTGTGGTACTACAGCTGCCCTCAGGCTCAGGAAGGCATAAAGCTTTCTCTACTTGTGCTTCCCACCTTGCTGTGGTGTCTCTCTTCTATGGTTCAGTCATGGTGATGTATGTTAGCCCAGGTTCTGGGGACCATCCTGGCATGCAGAAATTTGTGACCTTGTTCTATGCTTTGGCAACTCCATTCTTTAATCCCCTTATCTACAACTTCCGGAACAAAGATATGAAGGATGCACTAAAGAAAATTCTGAATCCATTATTGTGAGAAACCTCTAAAAGTTTCAAAAGTCAAATTTAACATAATGTAATCATTAATATTTAGGAGGGTAAATATAGAAGATTATAAAAACAATTAAGATGTTTCTCCCCGTCAGTTTATTTTATTTTCATATATTGAAAAGATGGCTTTAACAATTCATTAAACTCATAATTTAAGTCTTAAGAAGTTATTACTTTTTTGTTCCAGTTATGTCTATACCTTATGTAAACTTCTTTATTTTAAAATACAGCTTAATGAGATTTCCATGTATTTCTCTGTAATTGAGTTTTTAGTTTCTCTTTTGGTTTCTATTACATACTACTTATTTCAGCATCCTCAAATTCTGCCTTCATCACAACCAGTTGTTCTTTTTTAGAGCATAGTAAATATCAAATGTATTGCAAACCATTAATCAACAACTATTCAGATAACCTGATTTTTTAAAAAACCTTCAATGTTAGGGACTATTTTAAAACACTTTTTAAAAATATTTTATTTATTCATTTATTTTTTAGAGGGGAGGGGAAGAAAGGTAGGAAGAGAGGGAAAGAAACATCAATGTGCCAGAGAAACATCCATCAGCTTCCTCTCGTATGCTCCCAACTGGCAACCCAGCCTGCAACCCGGGCATGTGTCCTGACTGGGAATTGAACTGGTGACCCTTCAGTTCATAGGCTGGCACTCAATCCACTGAGCCACACCAGCCAGAGCAATTTTAAAACTTTTAAATATGTTTTAGAATTCCAAGTATAGTTTTGGGAACCAAAGAGGATCCTTAGTAGGTTATGTTGACTTGATTGACTCACCACAATTTACTAATGCTATCATGTTAAGGTAGGTCCAAATCTTCCATATCCAGGCACATGAAGTTTAGTTAATACTTAAGGTAAGCCAAAGAGCTCTAGACTTTGTGAAGTCACTACTATCCAGATCTAAGTTGCACTTATTTTCATGTAATTCTCTGTAAAATTCTGGATAAAAGTTCCTCAGAAGTTATTTCTACTCTCTAATTTCTTTTTTTCCTCCAGGGGCAAAATTTAATATACAGTATTATACTTCTCAAGGATACATTGGGCTAAAATTTTGTTCTGGGATAACTCCAGCACTAACTTTATTTTTAAACCACAAGCCCATCTGCAACCTCCTGCTAAATATTTTTACATAAAAATCTACTTCAAATTTAAATATGCAATCTTAAATTTGTTAATGTTTTTAAAAAGTAGCTCTAGCCATCCTTATGTACCAAGCTCCACTGATAATTTGAACTTAAAATATTAACATTGACAATTCCTCATCTTCTCATACCCAATGCATATGTTATTAAATTCCGTGGCATCTTCCCTATGATCTTTACTGATTTTTTCAATGTTCTAACACTACATTATACCTGTGGAGGCATAATAACTTCATAAATGGCCTCACATTTATGAAGTTATTCTGATATCTTCCATTTCAAAGTTCAGAATCACCTTTTTGAACTAAAGTTCCTTTCCATCAGTCCCCACACTTATATCCTCTCTACTTCGGCAGATTTATGGGCCAAATCCCCAAATCTGTGTGTGTGTGTGTGTGTGTGTGTGTGTGTGTGTGTGTGTGTGTCTACTTGTCATTATGAATTTGTTCAAACTCATAGAATGTGCAACACCAAAAGGGAACCATAATGTAAACTATGGACTCTGAGTAATGATAATAAATCAATGTAGGTTCCTCATTTGTTAACAAATGTACCATTCTGGTGAGAGATGTTGATAATGGGGGAGGCTACAGTTGTGTGGAGAGAGGAGGCATCTGAAACAACTGCTCTAAATAAGAGAGACTTTCCATATGTATGCTTAATGCTTTCCTCATGTAACCAGAGGAAAATGGACTATCTATAGCCACTGCTCTGTGCTAGATCTATAACATTTAGTTTGTAGATCCTTATCCTCTTCATCAGATATTTGAATTAAAGATGTGCCTGACCTCAGAATTCTCTCACATGGACACTGATAAGAGTAAAAACATCCCTTGGGGGGAGGACAAGTGAGTGGAGTGTTGTGAGAATTCCAGGCAATACGTTCTTGGAATAAAAATGATCTTTGTTGGTATTAAGAAGGAAGAAATGGCAGGCTTAATAGTTTATCTCAAAAGAGAGCTAACATTAATGACTACAAACTGCCTGTTTGTTAAAAGACGGAAATCTCTATTATGATTTTTAAATTATATATACAATATTTAAGTTGATCTCATGCACAAAGTTAGATTTGGTTAGCAGTACCCAAGTTTTCAATGGAGGTAGTTGTTTCCAAATGAAAACCTGAAAGGAATTAAAGTGTAAAGATTTATGTGTATATATAGTTATATAAATGAACCAGGGATATCTACTTTATTGTTCATGACAGAAAAAGACCAACCTTTATTTGAATTATGTACATTAACTAGAATTTGTCATTACCAAGGCTGAAGTAGGTCCACTGAAATAAAAGATAGGAAGGTACACCTAAAAAACTGATGAATAAACATCCAAGTGGATATTCAAACAGGCAATAGTATATGCAAGTCTGTAGGCAGAGGATGAGGTTGGGAGTGGAGATAAAAACCTGAGAACTGTCAACATGTTAATGGTGTTTAAAGCTATTAGATTTTTGAGGTCAGTCTAAATCAATGCTAATAAAGATATAATGTGAGCCACAAATGTGAACCACATGCATAATTTAAAGTATTGTGGTAGCCACATTAATAAAGTTAAAAAGCAATGGGTAAAATTAATTTTGATATTATGCTTTATTTGATCCAAATTAACCATAAGAGTGTAATTTCTACATATAATCAACATAAACATTATTAATGAGATATTTACATTCTGCGATTTTTATACTTATAACATTTTTCAGTTAGGACTAGTCACATTTCAAGTGGTCAACAGCCACATGTGGGTTATGGCTATTGTATTGGATAGTGTAGGTATAAATAGAGAATCTGGGGACTAAATTTAGAGCTCAAAAAGTGTCGAGATTAAACAAGTAAAATGTCTATCTTTCAGAGTAAAATTTCTTTGTCTTGAGAGAACAAATATACTCTTATTTCACAGACTTTCCTGACCTAAATTCTGATTTTGATGGAAAAGGCCCCACTGAGTACACTGTGTTATGGTTCTCTCACAAATGCATGGACCACCTCCTGGGAAAGGGGTTTTTCTGAAAAATTGTGTCTTCAGCTTCATTGTCTTAATTTGTTTCAGGCTGACAGTCTCTGAAGAAGCTGAATTAAATTCAGACATTGCTATTTAGGTGAGAACAGGGGATGGGTCAGCCATTTTTTGAAATATTGTTCAAAAAAATAAAACAATATTTAAGTGTACTCCAATTTACATACTCTTTCAAGTCCCAGAATTTATATTTTTATATGTGGTCAAGATGGAGGCGTATGTAAACGTACTATGCCTCCTTGCACAACTGCAGCAAAAATTACAACTAGACTACAACACAAGCATCATCCAGAGTTGCCAGAAAATCAAGTTGTGTGGAAGTCTGACAACCAAAGATTTAAAGAAGCCACATTCACCGAGACAAGAAGGAGGGGTAGAGATGCGGGGATGTGCGGAGAGGCAGAGAGGTAGAGAGGCATCGAGAGGTGGAGAGCCAGAGTGATGCAGAGAGGCATGGAGATATGGAGACATGGAATAAGTGATCCCAAATCCACATGTGGTGGATAAAAATTGCGAGGAATACCTTGGGAACAAGGAATCCTAGTCCCAGACCAGACCATCCAGCCCAAGTTTCTGGCACTGGAAAAATAATTCTCCATAACTTCTGGTTGTAAAAACCAGGGGAGGTTGGGACAGTGGCAGAAACCACAGGATTCTCAAAAGACTCCTCTTAAAGGGTTCATAATAGACTAAAGACTCATGCAGACCCACCCATTCTGGGATTCAGCAACAGGTCAACAGCTGGTTGGGCACCAGTGGCATAAGGGGAGAAAATGCAGTGTCTGGCAACAAGGAGAGTGCCAAGAGACAGCTTCTTCTGGAGAAAAACTTCAGAGGCTAGATAGAGGCATTGTCCCCTTTCCAAGCTCCCCCACACACAGAGCAACAGAGCAGTAATGTGGGTTGCCCTGCCCTGGTGACTAATTAAGGCTTCCATACAACTTATAGGTGCACTTTTCTACAATAGGCTATGCTACTAAGACAGGGAGTCAAAGCAGCCCTACCTAATACACAGAAACAAACAAATGGAGGCTGCCAAAATGAGGAGCCAAAGAAAAATATGGCCCAAATGAAAGAACAGAACAAAACTCCAGAAGCGCTAAACCAAAATGTAGATAAGTAACCTATCAGATGCAGAATTCAAACCACTGGTTATCAGGATGCTCCAGGAATGCACTGGGTACTTCAACAGCATAAAAAAGACCCAGGTAGGAATGAAGTTTACATTAAGTGGAATAAAGGAAATTCTACAGGGAACCAATAGTGCAGGGGGTGAAGCCAAGAATCATATCAATGATTTGGAACACAAGGAGGAAAAAAGCATTAAATCAGAACAGCAAGAAGAAAAAAAGATTTGAAAAAAATGAGGATAGGCTAAGGAGCCTCTGGGACATTTTTAAACATAGCAACATCTGAATCATAGGGATGCCAGAAAGAGAAGAGGAAGAGCAAGAAATTGAAAGCTTATTTGAAAAAATAATGAAAGAAAATTTGCCTAATTTGGTGAAGGAAATAGACATACAAGTCCAGGAAGCACAGAGGGTCCCAAACAAAATGGGCTCAAACAGGACCACAACAAAACATATCATAACTAAAGTGTCAAAGGTTAAAGATAAAGAGATAAACTTAAATGCAGCAAGAGAAAAACAGAGAATTACATACAGGAGAATTCCCATAAGACTGTCAGTTGATTTCTCAAAAGAAACTTTGCAGGCTAGAAGGGACAGGCAAGAAGTGTTCAAAGTGATGAAAACCAAGGACCTACAGCTTAGATTCCTCTATCCAGGAAATCTATCATTTAGAATATAAGGGCATATAA